GATAACAATATGTAATATAACAACAACTGTTGATCCCTACCATTTGGTTTGAAAACTCATATCATTTTAAATGTCGTTTCTTTGTTTTATTTGTATTTTGCTATTGTTCTCCTGTTTTACTATTCTCTTTCTAAAAAAAATAAACAATATAATGGAAAATAGACTTTGTTAATATTTTTATCTTTGTAAATGGAAAAAATCACCTACATTTACTTTTGGTTCTGAATAATGAAGTGAAAATCTAGCAACATGTTTTATACAACATACAAAGTGGTTAAGAATGTTTAAAATTAAATGATAGACAAATGTATATTAAGAAAATCAATATCAAAAACGATTATGTTCTCAGTATCTGACAATATAGAATTCATTCATAACCAGCAGTATCAAAGAAATCAAGTATAAATAGCTGATAATACTACAGGAAATACCACTACATATAAAATAAAATTAATATAGTTATTAATATTTGTGCACCCAGTAACATGGAAAAACATGCAAGAAGCAAAAAGAGAAGCAGAAAGAACTCATCAATATGCAAATTAACACATATACATCTAATCGGGACTCAAAAATAAATAATTAATAAGGATATATACTGAACTTTAATGAAGACAGTAGATCTCAATGACAAAATCCATGAGGTAGCTCTTATAGATATTAAATTCTTAACCAAATACTTTATACATCTAAGTCATACACTGATCAAAAACAAGTTAACATCCAATTAAATATAAAAGATTATTGGAGGCCTATAACCCATTCTCTCTCCTGGGGTGTAAAAGAGAGGCTCGCGGGGAAAGGAAGCAGATGACCAGGTTAAATCTCGAAAACATGCTAAAAACAGATTTCTTGGCAAACATACTAAATGGCATAGGTTACCTAGAGAATTCTTATGTGGGAAAAGCTTTTAGCAGTTTGTTTCCAGCTGTTGGAATTGAAGTCATAAACAATTCTGCAATCTCTGTACTTATGGGATATGCGTCCTTGGCCTACAAAACCACCTTAATAAAAAATAACCAGCAGTATTTTGCTAGGCTCCACCTAGTGTTTTGTTTGATTTTTGGTGTTTGTCAATGTTGAGGCTCAAACCCCTAGCCTAGCACATGCTGAGCAAGTGCTTTACCACCGAGCTACACACCCAGCCCTAGACCCCGCCTCCAAACAGTTTCCACCACCTTCTAATAGTGCCAAGCTGAGTGCTCGCTTCGGCAGCACATGTATAATAATAGTGCCAAGCTGAGAAACAGTGTTCAACACATAGGATACATTGCAGATCCAAACTATCGTGTGAATGTGCACAAATTCAATTGTGTCAATCTTTATACTGTGCATATATATTTCAGACATGTTTGCACATGTGAAATATTTCCTATTTTAAAATTTTAAGACATTATCTGTAAAAATATAGTGTCTACCTGTTATGTGGAAAATATTTTACAGAAAAAAATGAAAAAATTAATAAATAGAAAAAATGCATTATCAATACTTTAATGCAAACAACTGTGGTGCTGCTATAAAATGCACTTTTGTATTTAGTGAAAAAATTGCCTGCAAGTCAAAACATGACATTGTGTAAAACAGTACTGTTAACTGTAATACAGTTTTTTCTAAAACAGAGTTAGCCATTTGTAAATATGAATTACATGAAAACATGTTTAGTACGTTTAAAACAATATGGCTGAGACAATTTGAAGAGACTTAAGAATTTATTATTTATTTTAAATGAGACCACAGAATAATCACAGATTTAATTTTTTACTTATAGAAAAAGAATGAAAAGTTTTAATGATATTTTTATGATGACTGACAGAAAAAAAGATTTGTTTGATAGGTTAATGAAAAGTACTGTTGCTCCGGGTGTGATGGTGCAGACCTATAATCCCAACACTCAGGAGGCTGAGGCAGGAGGATTGCCACAAGTCTGAGACCAGCCAAGACTACATAGTGAGTTTAAGGCCAGCCTGAACTACATAGAAAGACCCCGTCTCAAAAAAAAAAAGTATTGTTATGTGGACTATAGTATCACAGAAATGAGTAAATATGACTTCACACTGTGTTCTTGTGCTGATCAGTTAATGACAAATCTTTTCAAAAGCTTTGTACATCATCTAACAAAGTTTGCTTTAGATTTAAAAGTTTAAAATCTGCAAGGACACATTAATAGACACTGAGGTCAGATAAATTCTTATGGTTTAAAAACAGACATCTCGATGATTTACATGAAGAGCTAAATTTTCTTTGTATGTGACTGGTTGTTTTTCATGGAGAATAGGGAGTTTAATGATGTTTTGATACCGAAAAGATGGAAGTTGATAATTAACTGATAATCCGTTTTGATATCAGTATCACAAATATTGATTTTAATGTCATTTAAATACAAACATCCTAAACTTGTTAATCAAGCACATTTTAAAACATAATTTATTATTCAAATAGTTATGCAGTTAGACATTTCTGTTTCTTATGCATTTAAAGAAATAATCTATACAACAGAACACTTGCATTTCACTAAATCATTTGATATGTAGCGTTTTTGAATATGTGTATTTCTCCTTTGCACGCAATGCAGTGGAGGCTAAGCCATTTTTAATGTAATTAATTGTCAAATTTGTGTTTACAAATTAGTGTAGATTGGTCACTTTCTGTTTAATGCAAAATCAACATGTTTTATCAATCATTTGGTGGAAAATAATGAGCTCAGCCCTTTGAAGAATGGAATAAACCATTAGCTGTTGAAATTACCATCATAATTAGTACAAAAACTTCCAGTAATTATTCCAAATATTTAAACATAAGTTATGCACCTGCATGATTTGACTGCCCTATCTATAAATTCTGCTTTTGGGAACATTATTTTAAATGAATAACCTGGTCTATTATGTTAATTTAAAATTAGAGTTATTTCCATAAATGAAATCTTTTTCACTAAACAAGCTCTTTGAAAATCAGATGACATTTTAAAAATTAATATTGATGGAATAAAGATTTAAAAAAGTTATTCAAATACTCATAAAATGAGTATGGTAATCCTCGGGTAAAATTCTACCCGTAATTAATAATTTTGCATAAAATCTACTGTGCCATGACCTTATCCATATTTGGAATTACTAGATGACTGTCTTGGTCACTTTTCTCTTATTGCTGATACAAAGTACCCAGCGCCCACAATTAAGAAAGGAAAGGTTTATTAAGCTCATGGTTTTTGGAGGTTTCAGTCTGTAATCAGCTGGCTCCAAAGCAGGGTGTCATGGCTAAGAGGCAATAGTTCAAGGTGGCAGAAGACAGCAAAAGCAGCAACAGCAAAAAGGGGAGAGAGCAAACCTCTTTTCCTCCCTTATATTGTATGCAGGCTACCCACCTGTGGGTGGGTATAGCACTCGCAAAGTCTCTGTGCCCTCCTCTTACATAGGTTCAAGATGTTCACAAAGTGAGGACTCTGGCTCCCTGCTGAGTTATTTAGTTAAGCTTCTAAACTTCACAAGTTGACACAATTTATCAACCATAGCAATGACTTTTTTTGTAATCTAAAAGACCATAGTAGTTTGACTGTAGTCATAGCCCCAACAGTTTTCTCCTTCCAGCATTTACTTGTTTTACAATATGACTTTGCAACATTTCCCAGCAAGTGGTGGTTCTACAGGTTGAATAGGTTTCATTGCATCTGAATTGCAGGTTGAAATTTGGTCCACAATGTAACTGTGCTGAGAAGTGGTGAGACCTTTAAGTTGTGATTAAGCCGTGAAGATGGAATAATGTAGTTCTCCTGCACTGAATTAGTTACCTACTGTTGAGGAGTAGGCTATTATAAAGCAAGGCTGCCCCTCTGTTTTAGCTCATCCATTCATGCCTGTTTGTCCTCTTGCTCCTGTTAGCCATGTTATGACACAACATGAAGCCCTCATCAGAGGCTGAGCAGATATGGTGGACCACTCAAGTCTCCAGAATCACAAGTGAAAATAAACTCATTTCCTTTACAAATTATCCAGTCTCAGGTATTCTATTATAGCAAAAGGAAGCAGACTAAGACAAGGAGAGTCTCCTTTACTACCCCTGGACTCTGGCTGGCCTTGTGATATGCTTTGGTCAATATAACTGACAAAAATGATAGCACACCAATTCAGAGCATTGGTCTCAAGAGGTCTTCAGCAGTTCTACAATCTATCTTGAGACTGTGCCAAAGCCATGAGATCAAGACCTTAATTGCCTGCTGGGGTATGACAGACAATATGATTTGGAACTGAGTCATGTACTTTTCCCAGCTAAGGCCCTTAGACATGTTACAGAGCACAGTCAAAACGAGCAAGATCAATAGCAGTGCTTAATTTTCCTGTGGCTTACTGCAGCTGCACAAGCGAGCCATACTGCATCCACATGCGATTAGCAGACTCATGAGATAAAATAGGTCTGTACACTGATGCTGTATACAGCTGCATTTTTTGTGGTTGGCTACTGTCAACCCAACAATGGATAACTGATACAAAGAATATCTGTTGTTCCCAGCTAAAGTACTCAAAGGTTAAATGCTATTTTAAAAATTGCTTTAAATATCAGTATTTTCAATTTCCTTTTTTATGTTTATCTTCAGGGACATGCAGTAAAAGTTTAATACTCAGCTGTAGGGTGGTAAGCTCTAGGACCTCAGCCACTTTCACACTACTAATGGAGTGGTATTGAGAGGAGATGTATACAGCTGGCTGACATGAACCAGGAAGAGTCGCCTCAAGCTTGTCATTGAGGTACTGCCCAACTGTTTGACTGCCTGTACCACAGTGCAGTAGTAATTGTAAAAGACATTGATTATTATTCAGATAGCAGGTTTTCCTTAATCTGACATGCTCCTTTCTCTTGCCTCACTTCCCTCATCCTAGCAAGTTTGGTTTAATGACTCTGTGATCCTAGAGACAACTAGGATCTTGCAGCTACCATTTCTGTAAGTGGCTTGAATTCCATTTTTCTGCAATCTATTTTCAAAGAAAATCAATTCAGTATAAACCTACCTTTTTTGGGTTGATCACCTTTGGTGGAAGAGGAAATTGTCTTATTTTCCAGCATGGTTATTAACAGTATTTTAAACCTAATTTAAAAGAAAAATATTTAAAGATCACAAATCAAAAATAGTTTGCATTTGGTTTCATTAAAAATTACCAATTTAAGAACTGATATTGCAAAATATATCAAAAGATACATAAAAAATTAATGGTAAACTTTGTTGAAATGGAAGGAAACCTAATAGTATACTCTTTTCATATTATAACCATGCCTGTCCTAAGCACTGGATAATTTAGCATTGCCATTAGAACTGTGTGTTCAAAGACCAGTAGGAATTCTGCAATGTTTTCATTTCATATGATAACAATTTAACCTTATTATCATATCTTGTATACCTTCCCTCACTTCCTTTTTAAGACAATTTATTATGGAGCACCATGAATATGTAGAAAAGTAGACAGAAAAGTATAATGCACTTCTGTTTACCATTAGCTCATCTCAGCAATTATCAACATATTGCTAAAATGAGTTCTGCGTGCCCATTCAATGCCCTCTCTGACCTACCTTGATCATGGTTAAGTAAATCTCACATATGATATTATTATACTTGTAAATAATTCAGGAATTTTAAAAAGCACTGCAATCATACTAATAATGTCATTAAACATACAATAATGTCTTAATATAACTAACCATATAGTCTGTGTTCACATTTCTTTGCCTCATTTTTTTCTTGCTTTTAAAATTGAAATAATGATACAGAAAAGGTCCACATATAGCATTTATTGAAATGTCTTTTAGTTGTCTTCTAATGTATGATTTCTCCCTTCCTTGTTTGTCTTCCTGCTATTAATCTATGCAGGAATCAAATATTTTCTCTATGGATAGTTTTACATTTCTGACAGCCTCCCTGCACTGCATTCTATAAGTTCCTTTGTCCCTTGTACTTCCTGGAAATTGGTTTTCATTGAAAATACAAAATGTCAAACAGAAAGACAATAATTCTATTAAAACAAATTGTCAAGAAAATGGCCTCCTAAGCGTTAACCTTGGATCACTGGAGTTTAGAGCTCGGAAATAAGCTAGCTCAAATTTTAATTTTATAAATCAGGAAATCTTCACTGAAATTAGTAAATTTATTCAGTGTCAAAGACTTTTTAGAGAAAAGTGCTGTGACAGAAAGCTCTGAACTCTAGGTAAACACTCTTTCAAAGAAATCAGTGTACTTCAGAAAGGCCAATTTATTAAATGAAAGGTAGCTATAGAAAAGAACACAATTAAATCCTACTTTGCATCAACATTTTACTCTATAATTAAGTAATAATTATTGTTGGACACACAATTTTTCATTCTTGTTCTACATAAAATTCCTAGAAAATTAAATAATAAGAATATATTAATTGTCCCAGTAATATAAAACTGTATAAAATGGAAAATCCTTCTACAAACTACTACTTAGATGAAAGCTGTTGATATATGTCTTTGAATCTACATAAAAGCCTGAAAGAACTAACAAGGTAATAAGGGACAGTCTGCTCATGATCTGGTAGCAGAGAGACATCTAGAGAGGCGAGACTAACATCTTTTTCCCTAGAGCCACATGTGAGCGGGAGAGGAAGATGACAGGCTGGGCCTGTGAACCCACTCACAGCTTCAGGAGCAGAAGCTGAAATTCAGACTCAGCCAAGTAGAGGTGCCCTGGAAAATTAACCCACTGCTAGGAATGAGAGACATAAAGTCCATATTCTATGAAACAAATGAAAGAGAAGTAACATCTCAGTGAAAACTGTCTTTAGACTGAGGCCTGTCCTTGAATCATCTAGGTGACACAAAAATCTGACATGGTAAGTGTAAAACCAAGGACCTCCTGCCCTGCACAAAGGCAGAGGTGACCCTACACTGATAGTCGGTGAATAATAAAATCAACGGAAACCAAAGAAGGCTGAACTAATGCAGAAGTACTCTACACTGTGCAATTACCAAATAATGAATCCCTAGACAACATTTACTATGTTTCTAAATATAACATAAAGTTTTTCAGTTTCAGAACTAAAAAGTATGAAAATTGATATTATAAATTTGAGGGCCTCCACTTAGGAATTCAGGAACTGGAAGCCACTGTACCTGTAATTCCAGACTTTCTGGTTCAATTTAAAAACAGATTTGGTGAGACTGTAGGAAGAATTAATGAAACAAAAAATGAACTATACTGAGTAAAGCATGCAGTTATGAAACAGTGGAAAATTTAGAAGTGTACTTAAAATTTGATGCTTGTGACTTTTACTTTTGGGAAGAGTCAATTGTTGTGCTTTGCCTTATTCTTTCTCCATAAGTACAACAACAACAGATCTGGACATTACACACGAAACAATCATTGACCCGAAAGGTGGAGAGACCAGAAACCTCAGCACCAAAGACACAATGAGTTTGCAAGTTTCTGGTATGATTCTTTTTGCCTTATTTGTTCCAGACTTGAAGCTGAAGAAGACATCAGCAACCTAAAAATGTCAGTGAGTAGTATAGAACAACAAAAGCTCCAACAAAAGTGTGCTTTAACCAGCAAAAGGACCAGGGAAGACAGCTAGTAAGAGAGAGCACATTTAGTGCTGGGGATATAGCTCAGTGGCACAAGTGCCTGCCTGGCAAGTGCGAGGTCCTGAGTTCAATTCCCAGTACCAAGAAGAGAGAGATGGGGGTGGGAGGGAGAGACACATTTAGCCAATAACTTCTCTATTCTAACCAAACACCCAAGAAAAACCTATGGCTACACAAAGACTGAATGGAAACTTGTACTACATCAACCTTTCCAGGCTGTAATGGGGCACACCCAATTTCCTGCTGGGGTGGTGTGAGAGGTGGTCAAGAAGGAATCTAGGACTTTCAACTCCCTGTTGGAGTCAACTTTCATATCCTGCCTCCACGGTAATCAAAGTGTTGGTGGAAGGCTACGTGGGGAGACTTCCCCTTCTTCCCAGCAGTAATGGGATACCATCTCTCTTTCCTACTATGATAAGGCCAAAGCAAGTATAATGAAAAGTCACCACTTTCAACATAACCAACTAAAAATGAACCCATATTCCTGACATGGTGTCAGTGTAGGTCATAGGGAGAGGTAACAAGACAGTCTTACTCTTTCCAGGCAGGGAGATATCTCAGTGGAGACCTGGTAGTGGATAGCTGGAATTCAAACCCCTACCCAGTTATAAGTGCAAATTAAAAACCAAAACAAGATAGCTATATATCTAACAAAATGGATAAAATGAAAAATAGTTACAACCTGGTCACTTGTAATTACAAGTTAGAATGTAAAATAATACAGCTTTTGGATAATAGTTTTCAGTGCCTTTCAATATTAATGATGGTCATACCAATATGACCCAGCAGTTGCACTCTTGAACATTTGCCCTAAAGAAGACATTGTCACTGAGCATCTTATACATGAATATTCTTAAAAGCTTTGTTCACAATAGCCCAAACCTGCATATTACCCAACAGTCTTCCAGAAGATTAATGGTTAAACAAATGTGGTACATCTACATCATAGAATACCATCCATCAAAAATAAAAAAAGAAACCAACTGTATATTTATGTAAGCAAGAAATTGGATGAACCCAAAATATGCTGAGTGGAAAAAGCCAATTTCCAAGGGATACATATTATGTGATTCTATTTATATTCATGGGATAATGAGAAAACAAATCACTGGTTGCCTATAGCTAAAGATGGCAAACAGGTAACATCAGAGAATGTTGTGATGGTACAGTCAAATATCTTGATTGTGTCAGTAATTATACAAATTCAAATGTGTGACAAAATTTCATAAAATTATACACACATTCAAAGATCTATGGCTATTACTGGTGAAATTCAAATAAGCTGTATGATTTCTATCAATATGAATTTTGGAGTGTTATTATTATGTTAAATTTATGTACAATGTTAGCATAACATTGAGGGATGCTGGCCAAAGGGTACACAGGACCTTCTAGTATATTGTTTTTGTAATTTCTTGTGTATCCAGTTATTTGAAAATAAAAAGCTTAAACAAAATAATAATGAAAGCCTAGCTAGAAAACTCTTACACTTGTGGAACCTGAGAAATACAGTTTAAATAACCGATGTGAAAGAACACATCACAGTGTAATAGAAAATATACTGGACAATGAGCATGAATATAACCTTATCATAACATGTGGGATACCATCACAGCAGCAAAGAAAGGAGGTGGTGTGGAGGAGGGAGGAAGTCTATGTTAGGCTGTTCAGAGAAGTCCTCTTTGAGGAAGTGACATCTGACCATGAGGGACCGAAGGGATGTGCCAAAAGAGGGTAGGGAGAAGTTTTCCAGGAAAAGCAGACAAAGATGCTAAGATCCTAGGGCAGGAATGTGCTTAAAGTGACCCACACATAGCAATGGCAAATAATCATTACTTCTAGAAACAGAACTAACGCAAAGGTGCAAATTAACCATAAAAAGATCTATTGTATTTTAGGAACATTTATCCAAAGAATTCTATCATTGCGGCTCAGCCTTTCCTACTAGAAACTTCAGGCTGTTTCCATCGCTGCCAGGAGAGCTTGTTAGTTTGCTAATAAAGGAAAAGCCCAAGCCTTTCACAGTTCTTGCCAGAGAACTTCTTTTCTGCAATTTTTTAACTTATAATACAACTGAGATTTTAAATTTAATAACCTGATTCAAACAAATATTATATCAAATTGTCTAACTTTATAGCCTCTATAGCTATACACTAGGTTAAACATAGCCAAGAAAGAACACAGAATACAAACCCAAGCTATCCAGCATGGCAGTAATTTAGAGTCAGGGTCCTGACTGAGGTCCAAAGACAGAGATTTGGAAACAGAGTAAACCAACCCTCCTGAAATTAACAGTCTAAAATATCTAAACCAGGTTGCCAATTATATCAGTTGCCCTATTGTTGCAAAAGACAGAAACTCACTTTAAGCCAAAACAAACCAAAAATTAAAACCTACAACATAAAAGGCACTATTTTTGGAAAAATGGGAAATGACAGCTGTCCATCTGTAAAAAAAGCAGAAACACAGGGACTGCATGCTGTCGACATT